AAGGAGAGGACCTGGCAATTTGCCTTTATTTTCGAACCAGTCAACCCTGCTCTGAGGGCCTCCTGAGTCCTTCATCAAACAAAATGAAATCCATTTTCTTTGTGCAGTCAGTGTATCTTGGCAGATGTGAGTCAGCATCCTGTTCAGAATGGCCTCTCAGTCCCTTGCCATGGGCAATAAAGACACACATTTTCCGTGGAACACCAGATGGGGAGCTGCCTTGGGGATTCCACCTGCAGAGAGGAGAGGGAAGCTCCAGGAGGCTGATTTTGTGGTTTTGAATTCAGCCATTATTTTAGCCTGCAAGTGTTCTTTTTTTTTTTTTGAGAGGGCATGTCTCATTTATTGATCAAATGGTTGTTAACAACAATAAAATTCTGTATAGGGGACTCAATGCTCAATGTACAATCATTAATCCACCCCAAGCCTAATTCTCATCAGTCTCCGATCTTCTGAAGCATAACGAACAAGTTCTTACATGGTGAACACATTCTTGCATAGTGAGTAAGTTCTTACATGGTGAACAGTACAAGGGCAGTCGTCACAGAAACTTTCGGTTTTGATCACGCATTATGAACTATAAACAATCAGGTCAAATATGAATATTCGTTTGATTTTTATACTTGATTTATACGTGAATCCCACATTTCTCCATTATTATTATTATTGTTGTTGTTATTATTATTTTTAAATGCTGAAATGGTAGGTAGATGCAAGATAAAGGTAGAAAACATAGTTTAGTGTTGTAAGAGAGCAAATGTAGATGATCAGGTGTGTGCCTGTAGACTAAGTGTTAATCCAAGCTAGACAAGGGCCTGCAAGTGTTCTTTATGTTTTAAATGTGGTGGATGACACCCAAGTTTTCTGCTTGGTCTCTGCTGTCAGCAGCATCTTCCTATGACATCTGGCCGAGCCATGGGAGTCAGCATCTTCAGGTTGACTGGCCCTCCGGATGCCCCAGCTCAGAGTGTTGGAAACATTTTTGTTGTTTGCCCATGAGCTTATCTGAGCATTTTCATTCAAGGAATAAATGCCTGCAAACTTAATTGTGCTATTTCCCTTCAGGACCCAAATAAATTTGCATCTTCATTCCTTATCAATCTTGAAAATCTTTTGTAAGTTTTGAAAGGAAAATTTTAAAAATCTGCTTGGATCACAGCCTGTACTCTCACCTACCTTCTGTAAGGACTTCCCACCACATCCCTGTTTCCCAGTATGGGGCTTTGTTTAGATTGCATTTAGACCTTCTACATCACAAACAAGAACAGGATAGGAAAAGACACATCATTCAGATTTGTTGTTTTCATGTTTCTGCCCCACCCACATGGTTTCTTTTAGACCCTGGGCCCTGCTGCCCAGAACCACTTCCTTACACCCTGGGATGTGTTTGATCTGAAAGTGCAAAGGCAGGGAAGCAGAGCCTCATCTCCCAGGAGGTGACGCCTATGTGGAACTGTTCGATTTAAAGCCTCCCGTGTGTGCTGGCCCTCGCTGTGCAGTGTTGACGATGACTGCTGACGTAGGTAGCTGAGTGTTCCCTTCTCGTTCATCAGCTGCTCTGTGGGCAGAAACGGTGAGGAACCGGATGACCCTTGAAGCTCCAACCTGCGCTGAATTATTTTCTACAGAAATAAACTGCCTCACTAATTGTGATAGCAGGTTGAGAGGAAATAGCAGTGTCCTGTAGATAAGGTGGTTAAGTCCTACTGGCAGATACACATATTCTGGTGTAAGGACACAGGGTGTGCTGCAGGTGGCTTTGATTAGGCAGTTGATCTTGGGCTCCATGGTGTTTTCCTCTTTCTAGTTCAGTTTGAAACTTGCAGACAGTGATAGGGGAGAAATAGCTGATGTTGGTGAGGTGCTCAGAAAAGGGAGGGGGCATCCACTTGCAGAAACAGCTTTCATTTAATTTCTTTGCAGTCGCTGGCATTAGCGTTTGTGTGATGCTTCCGCTTGTTCACTCGCAAGGGGTCCCAGCGTATCGGATGCTGCATCTCAGCAGGCTGTTTGCTTGATAAATAATTTAGGTAAAAGACATTTAGATTCCTTCAGCTGATAGTGGTTGCTGCCCCCTAAGTGAGACTCAGGTGACCACTCTGGCTCTTAACAGGGATTTCCAACAATCGGATTGAATTCTGCGTCTTGGCTGGGTGCCAGCTGTAGGAACTCAAAGGCAAAAGCTGTTTCACTGGCTAAGAGGGTGGGACTGACTGTAGTTTGTGCAGTGAACTCTTTTTCAGGTGTCATTTCTTATCTGAGTTATTTGAACACAGGTAAGCAATTCTTCCCTTAAAGTTGTAGTCAACCCTACACCTCACAGAAGCTGGGGGTAGAAGTGACTTTTAAAAATCTTAGACATGGGCAGATTTCTAAAGATCTTTCCATTCCTCACACATGCTTATCAATTTCTATTGGTGCTTCTTAAATAAAGAATTCTTGCATCCAAAGTCCCAGAGAGTCTTTAATCAGTAGGTCTCAGGTGGGACCCAGAGGATTGTGTTTTGAATTAAGTGCTTTATGTGATTCTAATTCAGGTGAGTTTAGGACCATAAACTTACCATTTGTTTCTGAGAGAACAGTTTTTTATGGGTCAGTGTTCTGGTATGCATTCAGGTCAGCAAACCCAAAATTGATTTCAGGAACTATTAGAATTGAGATGAAAGGACATGATTGTATTTTGTTATTGTTCTGGAGCATTTTCAGATTTGGCTAAGAAAATAAGTATAAAACAAAAACATATTTATAAACAAGTGGTTTTCCTAATACAAAGTTAGAGCCATAGAAAATTTAGAGAGAGAATGCATGTGTGTGAGTAGGTGAGCATGTGCCCAGACACATGACGTAAATCCACTAAAGTAGCCTTATAACCATAATAATGAGTCTTTGAATAAATCCATCCTGCCCATACCCAGCTGAAATGAAATATGAATTAAAGCTCAGGTATATGTCAGTGTTTCATGGAAGCAGAACTGGAGGTCACTGTGCAAACACCTTTCTTCAGCAGACGTAGAAATTGAGACCCAAGGAGGGCAGATGTTTACACAGGTAACAGTTGCAGAACTGAGCGTCAATCTCTGAGCATCAGTTTCTCCACCTATATAAACAAGGAAGAGAAATAACTATCCCCACTGAGTTATTGTGAGGATTAAGAAATAATTTAGTTTGTGTTAGAATGTTTTGGGAACTGAAGAGAATTTTATAGAAACAGTTTCTAACTATTATGCATGTTGTATTTTATTTTAATTAAACTACTTAGAGCCTTGAGGTGAAGTCAGTAGTTGATTCTGGATTGATGATTGCTTGTTGTTCACAATGTATTTTAAAAGGCCCCCTATGGCATTATGGTGAACTTTAAAACTATAGGTGGTCAAAAGAAAGAAATCTTTATCCATAATGCTACCACTCAGATGATCACTATTGCATTTTTGGTGTAAAGGCGTCTAGACATTTTCTTATACATGCATATATATTTTACAAAAACCAGGTTATACTGGGTATACTGCTTTGCATCCTGTTTATTTAGTACCATTTTGTGAACATTTTTCCACGTTGATACTTCATACCATTTTTCAAAAGACAATATAGTATCCCATTTCATGGACAAAGAACATTTAAGTCTCTTATTGAACATAGGGTTTTTTTTTCCCCTTTGATATTTTGATGTTACATGCAATGCTGAAATAAGCATTTTTGAAACCAAATCTCATATAGAGCAATTGGGTTTCTGTGTTGACACTGAATAGTCTAAAAACTGGAGCTAAAGTTATAGATGAGATAAGTGACTAACATACTGGTGTAGATTCACTCTGAAATGAATATATAAATACAAAAATAAATATTATTTATTTTTATACCCAGAAAACCTAACTTCATGCTTTTTTATTTCTTTAACATGCTTGAGAGTTGGGGATACCTTCTCTCACTGTGCTCATTGCTTCTGTCACAAAGCTTTACAGTTCGGATCTTTGGTAGCTTTGATTTCATTTCCTTTAGGCCAGGCTGTTTGTGTTTCCATGTGACCTTGTTCACTTAGCTACTCTCTCTCTCTCACCCAACAATTACCTATCCAGTTATGGTAGACTCTTTTTATTAAACGAAGTTTAATATTCGGTCAGGAGAGAGACCTTTCACTCTCTGAATTCTTATAATCATGCTTTAAGTTAAATGACATGTTGCAAGTATTTCTGATATAAAATTGGAAATTTTCAGATACCAGAAGGTATTGCTTATCTTTGTAAATACACATGTTCCAATTAAAATAGGTACTAAAATATTTTGGTGGCACTTCAAGATTCTCAACTTAGATTTAATTTATATTAAAACACTTACTCTTTGTAATAAAGTTATAAAATTGATTATTAAAATGGCCTATTGAAGATTAAAAGCAGTTGGACATTTATTTTCCTTACAAAACAATTTAGTCTTCAATAAGTATGATTATATTAATTAGTTATGCTATTAAAATACAACTGCTGTACTAAATCTGACTCATTTGTCATGACAGTTTCTATAATTATAGAAATTATACCTACCTGCTTATATAGCCATAATCCTGCAATAAATATAAATAATTGTCTCTATTAATTCAGTTCAGTTACTGTCTATTAAATCTCCAGTTAAATGGCAATTTGGGACCTTCATTTAAAATCCTCCTAAAGCTCTATTGTTCCATCTGACTGCCATAGCCCCACAAATGTACCTCTTAATGGTTTATTCCAGAAACCAATTTATGAATAAAATAGTTCTAAAAAAATACAAATATTTAAAAGGTCTACTTAGGCTTGAGGTTTGAGGCTGTCAGGAAAAAGAAAAGAGGGTATGGTATACACATTGGGTAGATGGTGCTGGCAAAAAGAACAGATCTTGATGCCCTGGCATTTCGGTTTGGAAAAAAGTATATAAATTTCAGTTTGACAAACTCTGTTTAAAACCTTCTGTGTAAGCCCAAAGGACCAGAGCACATGGTTGATAACCATTCACAACTTGCATTTCCGTAGGTGTAGACGAGGTCACCATCGTCAACATCCTGACCAACCGCAGCAATGAACAGAGACAGGATATTGCCTTCGCCTACCAGAGGAGGACCAAAAAGGTACAGGAAATGTCAGGGATGGAGGGCATTCCTTGCTGAAATATCATTTCCTCAGCCATTGCTTTCTCCTTTCATGAATTCTGGCTTGTGTCAGAATTCTGGAACCCTTGCGTGTCTATAACAGGGTTTTCCTGCGTGTCTATAACAGGGTTTTCCTGTTATAACCGTGTAAGCATCACCACCCACACTCTCGCAGCCCCTGGAGTGCTTGGAGCTCATACGTAAAGACCAAGCCCTCCTCCAACCCAGGATGTGTAGAGGGAGCAGTTCTGAGAATAGAAATCTAGAAAGGAATAGGGTATAAGGACAACACCAACAGGGCTCATTTATTGAATGCTTACTTTGTAGCCAGGAGTGTAGTTCTCTACATGTAGCAACTCATTTTGTCTTTATGACTTCTGCTAGCTCTTGATAAGATGTTTCTAATTCAACATCAGGACCCTGGCCTTTCGCTGAGTATCACACGTCCACCCCTCATTCTTCACAAACATACTTAACATCTTAAGGGCTTTGGAGCGAATGGACTTAGTAGTTCGTTAGTCCCCAGCCTATCTCCAGCGTGCCACACACTCACTACTTAAAGGGTCTTTGTGTGCTTTTTCCCTTGCTTGTGCACTAGTGGTTAACGAACAACCCAGTGCTTGTTCAACCTTTATTTTGTTGCAACATGAGGAAATTTTATTTTTAAAGATGGGTAGCTTATATTTTTAACTTCTTTCTATTAAAAGCTTTTGATTTACTCTTGGATGGTATAGTAAGGGTGGCTTCCTGCAGCTCCCATTTGACTTACATCTTTCCCTTGTAGCCGCAGTGGAGGTGAGCTGGAAGGATTTTAGAAAAGACATTTTTGCTCTTGAAGTTAACATGACCACCAGAGTTCTGGGAGTTGTAGATGAAGACCTGCTACAGCTCCTTCCCTCCACCTCCCCAAACAGTTGGAAAGGACATAAATAGAAAGCATCTGGCTTCTTTTATCTCATGTGCATTAAAATTCTTTTTCCAGCTAGTCTTTTATTAATCTTCTGTAGTGAAGCACAGAAGGAAATGTTTTATTTCTCCAGTTTCCCGAAAGGATGTGTGATCTGGTAGAGCTGAATTCCAGTTGGAGCAGAAGGCCCACCTCTCTGGATAGTATGCCTGTATTTGTTCCTTCAGCTCTCATTTACAGAATGGGGTCTTTGAACACACTTGGGTGTGTACACATAGGTGTACACAGAAGCCTGGATCTTGGTTTCAAATTAGATAGATGGAGAACAAAGCTCTCATGTACCTCTTAGAGGGAAGATATTGCCAGAATCATGAGTGACCTCACAGGCTTTGTTGTATGCTTGGGGACAGCTCACTGTCCTACTGATTCTTGAAGTCTCTCAGCCTTGGGCTGGGGAGAATTGTCATCTTTTATAGAAAGATACATAAACTACTTGAGATAATTTCTGAAGGCTACCTTAGAGGCAGAACCTTACTGATCTGAATGATTTGTCTGTGTAATGGAGGAGAAAGCCCCATATTGCCGAGTACATTAGGGCTGTGGACTGAGGCTTCCTAGGTGAATGAGCTTGAAGAGTAAGGACAAAGCTAGTGGAAGTGGAGAGGAGCTGGGAGAGGACTGATTTTATGTTTCTTTCATGTTCAAGCAGATAATAGATGCCAGGTTTCTTCATATATAGGGAACAGTTATATTTTATTTATCAAACATTTCCGGAGCTTCTGTTAAGTGCAAAGCCCTGTGCTAGACATTATGAGAAGCAGGAAGTTTAATGCCCGTGAAGAGTTTATAATAGAAGTGGGTGAAGTCAGTAGGTGCCCAAATGCTATTTGGGGTTTGAACAGAGAATGGGTAGAGGGAAGTGTCCAGGGCAGACAAAACTTGGAATTACCTAACCTCAATGTTTCAAATTGGAAAATTGGTGCTATAAATGGAAGGTGTTGCTTTCACAGTCCCTTGCTAAGTCTATGTGTTACTAAGATCTTGGGAAGCAGGAAAAAGTAGGTGGTGACAGTGTTGGGCCAGATGGATTCTAAGATCCATCTCACTCGACATCTATGAATAATTTGGGAAGATTCTCTCTGAAGTTAGGGGCACCTCACTTCCTAGTGCCGACAGGTACTTCTAGGGGCAAAGCCTGGTAAACACCATGGGGTGCTGCTGGAAAGCAGGAGAAAAAAAGGAGGAGGGAAAGTGCAAAGAAATACCATGGTGGGAGCACTCAGTCATTGCTCAGAGCCCATGACGTGTAGGACGTTTACTCCTGGAGGAAGCAGCTGTAAAAGCCCTGGTGGATCAGGGTATCTGTCTGCATACCTGGATGTGACTCAGACCTCTGACTCAAACTGTGTTAATGGGGACAGTGGAACCCTCAAGAAATGAGATATAGCAAGAAGTCAAAGGGATGAATAAAGAGATGGGCTTTAGTCCCCCATCTCTGTCAGCATCGTCCAGTTTGGTGTGGACAAATAGATATTCTCTTAGTCTTAGATGAAGTGTTTTGCATCAGAAAGCCTCATAAACCCACTTCCAGCCATGTTGGGGCCTCTGGTTCCTTGTGGGAGACCTTTGGGAGCCCCCCAGTGCAACTGCACAAACGTCTTCTATAGGAGGGTATCGGCAGGCCACAAGGCTTTAACCACGTCCTTCCTAGCAGGGCCTTGAGCCTGAAGTGTGTCCTGTCATCCTGCATGGGCTGTTGTCACTTGCGAGTGTATTGTGAAGCACCATCACACCATAGCTTTCTGAGGAATTGCACACTGCTCTGGTTTCCTTTTAATGACTAGGGGAGAAGGCACAATCAGCTTGGATTTTAAAGCATTTTGTCAGAGGCAAGTGGTTCTTTGTCGGAAACAAATGGTTCTATCTTTGAAAGGAGTGTAGCTGAGGGATAGTTTGACCCGAGACCCCAGAGTGTTGAAAGCATTGCAGCCTGCTTTACAAATACATCCCTCTTACTTTTGTGTGATTCACCAGTGTTACAGGGAATATTGGTTACCAGTCAAGTTTTCCATGTTCTTGCCCATTTTTCTGAAGGAACTTGCATCAGCACTGAAGTCAGCCTTGTCCGGCCACCTGGAGACAGTGATTTTGGGCCTATTGAAGACACCTGCTCAGTATGATGCTTCCGAGCTGAAAGCTTCCATGAAGGTAAACACGTGTGAGATGCAAACTGTCAAATCTACCATTAATATTTGTGAATTACAGCTTTCTGAGTGTAATTAGGTGATTTTCAGTTTTGTTGAATTCTCATTTGGAACTTTTTTTTTTTTTGAATGAACTGAAGCTATACATCTCAGGATTTGTACCAAAAATATTTCAATTACTTTTTTTAAGACTGTAAAGAAATTTCATGATGCTGAGAAGTCAGTTACCAGCTGCTACAGCTTGGCACCTGGGCAATTGGAATACCATTTGGAAAAACTACTTCCTTGATTACACTTCCTCCTAGAGATTTGTTGTGCTATTAAGGCAAAAAAGTAAAACTCACGGCTTTTGTTAAGTGAAGCTTGCAGTTCTCATGCTCTCTCTTGGGTATTTCTTCTTCTGACCTCTTATCAGTCCCATTGTTTGATTCAAATTTGGTCCAAATCAGAACATTTAAAATCACAGTCCATCAGATCATGAATAGTACTTGTGTTTTGTTCCAAGTATCATAGTCCATAAGACCTTTCGTTTTTTTGTTTTTTGTAATGTTGTTTTGCAATTTTAGCATAAGTTAGATAGTAGAAATTCCAGATTAGAAACCTCCTGAGTTTTGTGCATACCTGAAACATCATGTATTATATAAATGAATAGATGCATCAACATAAATGCATGTTATAGCAAAGCATAGAACCCTTTTCCTAGTGTATGCCTGCAGTGCTTTGAATAATCTGATACTGCCCCCTGCTGATAAAACTGTGTAAAGCCTTGGGAATAGGGGAAGAGCTGCAGTTGTAATTTGTATTCTGAGTCTGGGTGTGTTTCCTGTGATGCCACTGTTTCTGAATAATGAAAAGGCCAAGTTGGAGGCCTGTCACCAGAGCTAATGTCACAGTACAGTTGTCATCCCTTTCCCCAGAGGGCACCTTGAGAGTGAGGCAGCTTCACACACTAGGCACTTCCAGAGCCCAGAATTTGATAGCTCAGGGCTGCTGAAAGATTTGTTTTGAAATCTTTCTTCCTTCTATTCTCCAGCTTGGCCCAAACTGCGCCCAACTTATTTGAGTGGACTTGTTTTGAGTTCCCTAAATAGGATCTATTGCAGGGAAAGTATAAGTAAGAATGATAAAATGTCAGCAACACTTAATGATCCTGCTTGATACCAAGAACACTCCTGAAAATTGAGTCTTGGGATCTTTGAGCCATAAATGAGTTGACCTCTCCTAGGTTTCTTCTGACCATCATCACTTCAAATCAGTTTATTGTATTTTCATCAAGAATCCATTTAGTTGTGATCATGCAGTTTTACTAGTATCAGGTACTAGGTATGAATGTCTTGAAATAGACCTGTTTGAGCTGTCAGTCACCATTGTAATTGGGCCCAATCAAAGGTGCTTTGACTGCTAAATCTTTGACCTTGTGCCAGCTCATCCATTAGTTATCACAGCTGAGTACCCTTTTGAAATCCATAAAGCTTGAAGTGATATTCACTGAACTATGCTTTTAAAAAAAATGTGTTTTGACTTCTGGCAATACCAGTGGCAGTATCTGCCAGATGTTACTGTAGAAGTTGCCCTTGTGATAGGAATTGTGGACAATCTGTGGAAAGCGTGGGCCAAGTTTTGGAAATTGTCAAGGTCACCTTTCAGTATAGAGAAAAAAGCACCATTAGAATTCTCAGATATTAACCCTGGTATAATATCACTGATGGAAGAAAACAAATCTTACATTGCTATTGTATTTACACTTGAACAGTGTTGGGATATAGTGTTTCTTCTAATGTGTTAAGTTATTTTTAGATATATTGTTGTCATCCTTGAGATTGAAAAACTGTCCCCTAATATATTTGAAGGTGCTCCATAGTCGTTCTATAATATTTGTATGGAATGTCGTATAGACCTTCAGCCAAGAAGGGAAGAAGTTTTGGCTTTGCCAGAACCTCTACAAATGATGATTTAAAACTCTGGAAAAAGAGGCTCGGCTCATAGATTAGATTAAGAATAAAATTCAGAGCTAACCATGAACCTGAGGCTTAGTTTATATTACACAACCCACTTTTCAGGGGAATATAAACTAATAAGTTTAATTAATGCCGACATACTCTTCATGGGTATGAGTCTCTTATTGTATTAACACCTTATAATTGATTTACATTTTAAGCATTTATAATTATACTTAGTTCAACATAATATTTCCATATTTGGAAACACAAGTATTAGGGAATCCTGATCATTAAATCTTGACTTTGATCATGAAGCCAACTTTGAAATATATGTTTCATTGAGTCCTTTCACACTATCTGGCATGCTCAAAAGTGTATATATTAAATTTGAATACATCACACATCAGATTCTTATTCCTTAATAAAGAGTTGGTGTCTAGGTTTATTTGGAACTTCATTATTTCCTTTTGCTTCCCTAAAGTGCCTGAAGAGCGCATAGTAATCCAGCAAAAATGCAAGTACAAGAATGAAATTTTTAACATTAACCCAGTTTTACATTTCAAAGAGGTGAAGCTAAAAATTTTATCTATACCTTTCCCTGGTAAAAAAGACTTCCTCCAATCTCATGATGCTGGCTGCAAATGACAACATAAAATCTCTATATTCCTTTTTTTAAAATTACTGAGCAGAATTATTTAACAAAGAAAATCATTTCCCATCTATTAAAATAGTGGGTGGTTATTGTAGAATTTGGAAAATACAGGAAAATGGAAGAACTGGAAGGTTTGCTTTTTGTAAACCTAAACCAAAGGCAACCCCTTTGAACATTTTGGTATATTCCATTGCTTGTCTTTTCCTTCCCCTTAAAAAATGTGTGTGTGTGTGTGTATAAAACAAAATATACTTGAGCTCAAACATGCACCATATTATATTCTGGTGAAGCCATTTTTTCAAAGAACAGAAGATACCATTACCTTATGCTGGGGAATACAGCACAGACTCCCTCAGTAGGACTGTAGAAAGGAGCATGCCAACAGACCCAATCCATGTTTGCGATTTACGTGATCGAGATCAGAGAAGTAGGCTAATGACTAGGAGGACTTCCCCGCTGACGTCCATGCCGCCTGGTTCACAGGGGCTGGGGACTGATGAGGACTCCCTCATTGAGATCATCTGCTCGAGGACCAACCAGGAGCTGCAAGAAATTAACAGAGTCTACAAGGAGAGTGAGTAGCCCTCGTTCTGTCATGAGCTTCTCAGCCCAGTTGCTGTGACCCTGTCGTGGCTGTCTGGGCTAGGGGGTCACAGGATGCCCAGATTATATAGGCAGAAATGCCTGCCACAGGGACCAACCAGGGGCTTGTCATGGCCCAGGCCCTTCTCCACCTTCTTATGGCCTGGGATTTGGTGATCATATTTCACTAGAACCTCTGCAAAAGGATAGACAGGAGGGAAAGGAGAAAACAAATAAAAAAAAAAAAAATCTGATGGGAAGATTAAGAAAGTATTATACATGGATTTCATGTATTGGGTGCTGTCCTGTCTCTGCTTAGGACGTCGCCAACTCTGGACTGTGGATAATTGTTGCAAGAGGCACATGGATCTATGTGCCCCAAGCACCAGGGGACTGTGGGTAGACTAAATGTACAGTTTGCATGCGTATGTGTGCTATGTTTCAATACCGGTGCTATTTTGAATAAAACACAAATCCATTCATAAGTACTATTTAATTCTCACTAGTTTTTGCCATTGTGCATTTTTTCCATCAGTGGGTAAGAAATATGTGTGTGAATATGTGTATGTGTGTGTAGCCCCCCAAAGTTTTTGATATTCAAAATGAGTACTCATAGTCAAGAAGGGTGAGAACCTGCATCTTACCTACAGAAGAGGTCACTTATCAGAAGTGAGCTTGGGGATACCTCATTTGACCCAGCTCTGTCTGTCCCTTGTGACTGATAGTAACGCTGACTCATTTTGTGAGAGTCAAATCATTTTAGAGAATCTGCCTACAGTTGGGCAGATACATCCATGCTGCCACAGCTGTTTCTGGTTTTTGAGGCTGAGTGGGACAGGGGCTGTTGGTGTGGGTGGGTGGCTGGCTGCATGCACAAGCAGGAAGTATTAAACCAGATTTGGTGTTTTCCAAGTGTACAAGACCGATCTGGAGAAGGACATTGTTTCTGACACCTCCGGTGACTTCCGCAAGCTGATGGTTGCCCTCGCAAAGGTTGGTTTCCAGCTTACTTCTCTGTCCCTGCTTCCTCCCGTGGCAAGTGGCATACCTCGTTTTATACTTGGGAGCAAATTCACTCAATCCTCTGGGTCTGCATCAGAATTTCCAGCTGCATTCCCGACAGTGGGTTTGCACTGTCCCTGCAGAGTTGTCATTTCTGTATAATAGGATTTCTTATCCTGCAAAACTGCACGGTCAAGTGGGCTTTGGGGCCAGAGGAAGAATAGGCAGCTCTCAAGTCCTGGCCTGGATTTATGTGCCAGCCGTCGATGTGTGTCTTGAGGAAGGTCACTTTGTCCCTATCTGTGGCCACGTAGGACCCAGTAGAAAGTGAGTCTCTTGTTCTTTCACCTGCTCTCATTTCTCATGAGACAACTTGCCCAGGTAGTCCTTTGCCTAGAGGGGAGGAGTCCGCTGACTTGCTAACATTAACACATTAACATGGATGAGAGCATTTCCCTTCTGAGTAGTCTGAGTTCTGACCAGTGTGCAGTTGAATGCCTGCATGCCAGAGGAGGGGAGAGAAGGTATTCTCTGCAGGAACCCCGAGGACGGACGATCGATTGGCAGGCTGCGTCCGGCTCCCTCGCATCTCCACAGCCATACTGCCCTCCCGGGCTCGCCTCTCTGGCACTTACCCTGTGAACCGCCATCCACCCATCTTGCTGAAAGTCACTTTTACCATTTTACTCCCCTAATCAAAAACCATTTGTGCTGCATCAAATCAAACTCTCAAATGCCTTTAAAAAGTCCTGGGTACCCTGGTCCTCCCTAACATAATCTTCCTCCCCAGGATTTCCCCCCTGTTAATCTGTTAGTGCAGATGGGCAGCACCTCACTCACCTGGCGTGGGCTCAGCCCCCCTGTACTGTTCCTCCTTTGTGAAATGGCTCCCCCCACCCCTTTGCCAGCCTCATCTGACGCATCCTTCAGGGTTCACCTCAGCTGTCGCCATTGCCCACAGACTTCACAGGCTAGCTCTAGTGTCTGACAGAGTTCTCCCTTATTTTGCATTTCACGTCTTTTTAGAGCCATGGATTACTGTGTGGTTTTACTTTTTGATCCATGCTTATTTCTCCATTCGGATTGTAAACTCGTCGAGGGAAGGAACTAAATAATTATTAGCTTTTTTTTTCTTTTGGAGGTAGGGGGATCCTGTAAGGTGCATGGCCCAGCTCTGGGCACCACGGAGGGAGGGGTGACGGTGAGGTTCCCTGCCTCCGTTTTTGTACACATCAGTCCTTGGTCTTGTCTAGACTTCAGTGTGAAGATAAACTTTAAGGGGATGTTTCAGTAAATTAAATAGTGGCATACATGAGTTGGGGAAAAATAACATTTTCAGTTTTAAAACACATAAAGAAATATATTTCATGTTCCTAATTGCTTTCTTCTGTAGGGTAGAAGAGCAGAGGATGGCTCTGTCATTGATTACGAACTGATTGACCAAGATGCCCGGGTGAGTGCCAGGCTTTTGGATTGCATTTCTGTTTGCTACTAAGTCTCTGGATAGTCTGTATAGTAATTATTGTCCTGTGTAACAAATTACCCCCAAATTAGTGGCTTAAAACAACAAACATTTATTGTATCTCTGATTCTGTGGGCCAGGAATTAGACAGTGGCTTAGCTGGGTGGGTACCGGCTCAGAATCTCTCGTTTGAGGTTGGAGACAAAAGGTGGACGTGTGAGCACCCGGCAGCGTCAGGAGGGTCTCCTCCGGATCGCCACGCACATGACTGCTGGCAGGAGGCATTCGCAGCTCTCCACAGGGGCCTCTCTAAGCGTTTGCTGGAGTGTCCTCACCGCAGGGCAGCTGGCTTTTCCCAGAACAGGTGATCCACGAGAGAAAGCCAAGAGGAAGCCATGTGCCTTCCAGGACCTAATTGCAGGAGTCACACACTGTCGCTGCTGTCATACTCCATTCATGAGAAATGAGTCACTGAGTCTAGCCCACAGTCAGTGGGAGTAGAAGGAAGGCAGGTCAGAGAATCTGTGGGCTTCATTTTCCCTTTCTGGGAGCAATAGTTATTACAGGGTACTCCCGTAAACAGGATCATGTCTGGCTCACATAAGCTGGTTTAGGCTTTGCGTGCACTGGAAGCACAAGTTTCTCCAGGATGTGACACAGCTATGCACACTGCTGTGCGTGTTCCACAAATGACCAGCAACAGAGTGAGCAACACTGAAAAGGGAAAGAAGATGGTGGAGGCACAGCCAGGGACAGGGAAGGCTTATTATTGTCCCTTGTCGGGGGGGAGAAGGCAAGCGTGGCCGAGGCCCGTCTAGCTGGATAGAACTTTTGCTGGTTCTAGTCCTATAATCATGAGAACTATTTGTTCAGCTCATTCAGGTTGATATGAACTACATGCCTTTCCCAGAGGGCCGACAGCTATCTCAAAGCATTCCGTAAGAGCTGCAGAACAAAGTTAATTTAATTCTTTTTGATTTTAAAATTCAATATATTTCACACAGCACTTAGAGCAAGAGGTAGAGAAAGGTTTTAAATAAAGCAATAGAAATTGGGTTTTGCAACTCCCAGATAGTGGATGGTCACTGAATGAGTATCCTTGCATGAACCTTTCTTCCCCCTCCTTGGCATTCTTAGCATTACTTGTAGCCTCTAAATTTTCCAGAAACAGTAAGGGATTTTGGATCAGATCCCCTTTCAGCTCTGTCACTTCCCGAGTCTCTAAGAAGCTCAGGTGTGGTACCGGACCTGGAGCTGTCTTCAGGAGATGACCAGTAGCTTATCTGCCTTTAGAAGTGCCAAAGGCAAGAGGGCTGGATGTGCTAACAAGCATTTGCCTGTCCTTGTGTATTATGAACACATACTTGGTCCTTCCTTCGGTGTTCAGGGAAGGAGATTTGTATAGCGCCAGCCTCACGAGCAGTCTAGTCTCCTGCTCTGTCTGTGCCTAAGAAATACTGCTCTTGGGGAACTTGGGACCTAAATAGAACATTTTTGCCCATGCCTGCAGTGCTGTCTCCTTTCTCATTTGACATCTTGAATGAGTAGGTTTTGGGTGGTTGTTTTATTTTCATGGCCTTCACTGGATGGAGTAGTTAACTTTCCCGGTTGGCTGTGCATGTAGGATCTCTATGATGCTGGAGTGAAGAGGAAAGGAACGGATGTTCCCAAGTGGATCAGCATCATGACCGAGCGGAGCAGGTGTCATCTGCAGAAAGGTGCAGGCTGTGCTGAGGAGGTCCTAGCGCCTCGGGCCCAAAATGGGTGCCCTTGGGGCTGCTCAGGGGCTGGGTTGGGCTTGGGGCTTCCTGAACAAAGTTCACTCTCCACTTTGTACCCCATAATCTCACCCCTTTTCTGTCACCAAGTCCATTCTCTCCCATTTTGGATCCTCTTTTCCCCTTAAATACTTTCCATGTTTGGTGCTTTAGCTGCCCCTTCTTGCCTAGGATCATTTTATCTTGCCATGTTTGTTCAAATAATGGACTCTGCCAGGTGCCACGTACTGTTTCTCGTGGCTTCTAGATAGAATGGGTTCCACTCAGGGCTGAGATGAAGATGGTCAAAATACATGGCCTGGGCAGTGCCATTTGGGACAGGTTCCTGGTACATCTGTCCCAGGGCGACTGGTGCAGTGTCAGCTCTGGACCACCCTGGCAACCCCTAATGCTCTGGGATGCTATGATTATCCTCATTTCTTTAAAAAATTGTGGTAGGCAACTGTGTGGGCAATCATTGGCAGCTTTGACTAGTGGCTCTGTTATAATAATTATTTGTTGCTTTTCCTTAGTATTTGACAGGTACAAGAGCTACAGCCCTTACGACATGTTGGAAAGCATCAGGAAGGAGGTCAAAGGAGACCTGGAAAATGCTTTCCTCAACCTGGGTAAGTAAGTGTGGCCCCCCAGCCCTGGTGGACATCGGCTTTCAGTAAACTGCGCTGAAGCAGAAGTAATGAACGGCTGTCTTATTAATTCAAGTGTGTTTGGAGGTGTGGTTTCTTTACAACGATTTGGGTAGTTTTATAATCTTCACTGCATAAATTTAAGATACAAAACTGGGGAAGGGTTTAAATTGGTAAAACCGAGAGTTGCCTAGAAGGAATAAGATAATAAGAGAAAGGGTTCCGCTGGGGAAACTCACATACCCACTTGGGCTTCTGCAGCCCTCAAGTCCCCTGATTCAAAGCCGTAGTAGAGCTGAGTGTTTCAGAGGATCCCTGGTTTTCCCTTCGCCTGTGTTATTTTGCAGTCCGTTCCTGTAATGTGAGGCCATCTGGTTTGTGCCCTGGGATCAGGGCCTCAGCCCCCACAGGTGGAGGAGAGGGGAGTAGCTCACCCCTTTTCTTCTCTCCACAGTGCAGTGTATCCAGAACAAGCCCCTATATTTTGCTGACCGACTGTATGACTCCATGAAGGTAAGGGCCCCTGGATGGGAGGTCTGTGTTTCCACAGTAAGCTTTTCTTTTATGCCCCAAACTCGGCCTCCTTGACCAGCAGATGGAGGCAGGTACTCCGCTGTGTGGGTGCAGGAGTGGACTAGGCAGCCGTAGTTGTGTTTGACAGGTGAGAAAACCACAACTCCATCTTCTGTCTCTCCCAACTAGATGAACATGTACAGGTAGAAAATAAAGTGCCACCGTAGAAAGGAAATGCCAGATGGTAATTGTGTCTGATTCCTGCTCAGATTTCTCAGTAATTCCCTTCTGTTACCCCAGAGTGAAACATAAGCAAGGAAGAGAGAGAGATTATTTAGCAACCACCATACAGTAGACAATGTGCTGTTTACTTTATTTCAAACCATTACCAAAACACCTATGAAGCTTATGTTATTATTTTCTTTATAGATGAGGAGACCGGAGCTCAGAAAGTTTCAGTTTGCTTGAGGTTGCATAGCCAGATTGGAGCTTGAGTCTATCTGACTCCAAAGCCAGCCTTGTAATTCTCTGTTAAATCGACTGTCTCTTCTCACATTCCCATCCCATTTTCCATGCCCCAACTGCGCCTTTTTCTTTCCGGCTTCAAGTCCCTTGTCACATCTTCCTGTATCACCCCTTGTCCACAGAAGGATCACCCTTCTGTCTTCAGGTCCCTTATCAAGTATGACCCATTCCTTGGTGCCTCTGGTCTGAAGGTCTAGAAGTAAATGCAGTGGTCATTATTTCTTGTTATGTATGTAAACTTGCACAGTTCTGAGCTCTGCAGTAGTTAGTACTCAGTATGCATTTCTTGAATGCACAGAGAAGGGGGTTCATGCTGATTTCATCCTGGCATGTTTGGAATTCCAAGATGCACATTCTTCTTAAGGGAGTGGTTTCGCTGTTATCTTTGCAGTCTCTTAGAGGGCAGCATTAAGAATCCATATGAGTTCCATGTGTAAGGAAACACACTGTATTCTCTTTTAATGATTAATGTTGTCTGTGAATTGTAACTTGGGACATCGACTTAACTTTCAGGGCAAGGGGACTCGCGATAAGGTCCTGATTAGAATCATGGTCTCCCGCAGTGAAGTGGACATGTTGAAAATTAGGTCTGAATTCAAGAGGAAGTATGGCAAGTCCCTGTACTACTACATCCAGGTAAGCCGCACGGTGACGTGCTGGCCATCCAGGGGGCCCCAAAGTCCCCAGGGCAGGTGCGCTGTCAGAATGATGATGGAATGGTGGTTTTCAGCTTTCTGATTCCCTGGGGAAGACATGCTAGTCATCAAATATCAGGGATTTCTTTTGAAAGTGCCATCATTTATTTGTCTTGGAGTCTTAAAGAGTCAGTCAAATATTTTATATTTCCCACATCTGCTATTCTGCAGTGATAATTGCTGTTCATGACAATGATCCTGCAAGGCTTGTTGACATCTTGAAGAAACTTGAATCAGTTAAATTTTTATATTTTGTTATGTTTCCATTTCTTGAAGAATCAATCCCCTGTGGTAGGCCTGACAGCATTTACTTGCTCAGAATGCCCATCTCTCTTCTCCCATCAGTGTAGTCTCCGTTTCGGAGAGATGGAGCAGTCATGTATGAGGAGTGACTGCGTTCATGGCAGTCACACGGTATATAGTTCAGACAGGCACCTTTCTAAAAGTAAGATCCGGAAGTTTTCAGTCATGTCCGTGTTTACCCAGGATGAATTTAGAGGTGGGTTTGGTATACCCAGGTTTATTAAGGCACATGTTTAAAGTTTAGGCATCCCCTCACCTCACCAGCCTATCCCCGCATGACCTTGAGAATCCACAGAGCAGCACAGTAAGGCAGGGAAGTGCCTGTCTTCCCTGGAAGGGGGGGAGGGCAGGGAGGGAAGTGTTGGCGTCCACAGGGCCTCACTCCGTGAAGGCAGGCTTGGCTTGTCCTGGTCGCTCCCAAGTCAGCCCCAGAACCTCACGTTCTCCCGCCCTCGTGGTAATACTGTGACTTGAGAGTTTGTGCGTGAGGCCGCACTCCCAGAGGGTCTGCTGGCGGTGGCTTGGGCCTTTGGGTCTGGGCGGGTCCTGTAGCGTGAGTAGCGGGAGAGGCTGCGTGTGCTTTGGGACGGCTTGTCTGTCATTGCAGAATTTGGGTCTTTTTCCTGATGTTGAATTTCTTGCCTTGCCTTGGCCATTCGCAGCAGGACACCAAGGGCGATTACCAGAAAGCGCTGCTGTACCTCTGCGGTGGGGACGACTGAGGCTCTCGGCGGTGCCCGGGAGCGGTGGTGCTCCGCGCTTCCAGCTAACGGTCCTAGGAAGTAGCTTGTGACTAACAGCTCCCTGTGCCCATCCCTGTGAGGGTGACATTAGTGTCGCCCCCTCCCTGTCCTTATTTCAGCATCGCCCAAGCATTGCCTGCCTTTCCCATCTAGTTTCTCCTTTCAGCCAAAGAAATGAACATTCCAAGGAGTTGGAATTGAAATTTATGATGTGAAACACCTTGCCTCTTGTGTACTGTCATAAGCAGATGAATAAACAGAATTTGTACTTTAGAAATGAGTACTTTGTTGACCTCAGTTTCAATTCAATTGTTCAAAAATCAAACACACGTAGGGCTGCATCACTCAGCTGGGAAGGCTGTGTCCCAGAGGAAGAAGCTGTAGAACCGAGCTGTCTGATAGAGTAGCTGCTATGCAGATGTGGCAATTTACGTTTTAATTAATTTAAATGAAATGAAATCAGTTTCTCAGTCTCATCATCCATATTCCAAATGCTCACTACCCACATGTGGTTAGCAGCTAGTATATTGGACAGCTCAGGCAGAGAACATTTCATTATGAGAGAAAGTTATGTTGGGCAGCTCTGTGTGCCAAGGGCGTGATGGTAATGAGGGGAGGGGGAGGAGTCCCTGAATGGCACCCCCATCTGCTTCTCTTATTACAGGTAAATTGGGTGAAAACAATCATCAGTGATGTGGCCTCAAAACTGGGAAGAGGGGTTTAGCAAATGAGATTCTGTTTAGCAAGTATTGCACATATTTCTGTAAACCATTAGACTTACTGAAATAAGGAACATTCTGTCCCAAACTCAAGGACTCAGCTGTCAGTGAGTTAGGCTGCAGCATTTCTGTAAAGAAGGTGAACAAAGGGGATGGCGGGCACCAAGATGTGATTGTGTGTGGCTGGGAGGATTGAGAAAAGGACCCAGGGGAGAGGGAAGCATTGCAGCTGCTTATGTGACCTGACCTCAGTGCTAAGGTGAGGTGTTAGATCTGGGAGGAGGCTCGTCACCCAGCCTCCTGTGGTTCTCTGGTAACGGACAGCAGGTGATCCATACCTGGGGGGCATTGCCAAAGGTGCAAAGACTGCAGAGAAATTAGGTCTCATTCCCACTCCTCTCCCCACCCAGCCAGCTGCCTTCCCTAGAGTCACCTGTTTCTGGTCTCCCTGCAAAAATATGCGTGGGTGTGAGTGTGTCTATGTCTCTATCTCTGTTCATCACGTAAAGGTGCTGTTTATCGGCTACGAGCCCAGGATGCTACAGACTGTTGTCGTAAAGGTATTTCCCCTGGGATGGGTAGGGCTGGGGGCAGGGGGACTTGACTGTCCCCAAACCCTTACACTCTACTTCCCTTGTCAGAGGATGATGTGTCAACAGCTGGTTCTTGACCCCTGCCGGATGTAGGGCACACTCAATAGTCTGCAGGGACCAGGCAGGTAATGTAAATAAATGTGTGAAATGGGTTGGACAGATTCCGTGAGTGGAGAAATGCCCCATTTTAAGCATTCAAGTTCAGTTAATACCGTGTTGACCAAGCAAAATAAATCTGTGGGCTGATTGATTTACTATTTTGATCCTTTGGCAAACTTTAGCTCGAAACTCAGATGGAGCATAGCTCTTGAGTGGCCCATAAACTGCCTGTAAGTCCACTGAGAATTCTCTAAGGAGCAAGTTATGCAAAAATAGAATGTCTCAAATTATTCCCCTTGGACACTAGAACTGATGCCCAAATCCCAAAATAGACTTCCATGTGCGTGGGGCAGAGTTCAAGGAACTGTATAAAAAGCAGGACCTTTCTGTTTAACCCCAAATTAAAGCGTTGAACTCAGAATTGATAGGACTGGGCAGAAGCTGTCAGGAACAATGCTTCATTTATATCAGGAACTATCTTGGCTTTATTTCCTCCCATCTGTAGAATGTCTCAGGCCAACAAAGGGAAAGGTGGTGGAGGAAGATGAGGCTGTGTAGTAGGAGCGTGGGCAGGCTTCTGCTCCTGCTGTGCTCCAGGTGGCCTGGCCAGCACTCTGGTTGGTCTGGACCCTCTATCAGGCACAAGGAAAAATCCAAAAGGCAGACTGGCTCCCAGAGAACCAAATGCTGCCTGCTGTCTCCGCCCTGTGTGGAGGAATGGTCGTTTAGTGTATTCCAAAACTGATAGAAAGGGCACTTGGAGTTTGGTCTCAGAATTCCAGCCTGTCCTCTGTCAAAATGTCCAAACTCATTTCTTGAAGTAAAGAGAACCATCCGGAGATGTGAATATTCTCCCAGTTTTACTTTTTTAAGAGAAAGAAAAGGACACCAGACAGGCTTTAACGTTTGTCAGCTGATAATAAGAACTTTGATTTTATTTTTTGAGGATTTAAAAGGCAGTGCATGCAGTGTAGTCAGGGAAACTTACTGAACTATGACTGAACAAGACGGTGATTTTTACCCCCAACCTGCATGGTGGGGTTGTCACATTGCACAACTCCAGATGGCACCCTTCATTTTAGTGTCTGTGAATGATATCTCCCCTGGAGTTGTGCAGTGCACAACCCGAGTGGCCATACTTGGCAGCCCTGTGTGGTGACCCTCGGTGTATGTGAGATGGCCTTATTAGGCCTTTTGTCACAGAGTTGACTTCCAGATTAAAGAGAAGAAACTGTATTTGGAAACAGATGGATAAACCTCTCAAGGCGTCGCCTTTTCCATGGATCTTCCCATGGATCCCTGGACCTATTTTACTGGGCTATGCATATGCATCTTCCCAGCATGGGAAGTTCGTACAGTGTAAATTATTAGTAAAGACGGCTAAAGCAGGGAAAACCTGCTCACAAAGTGGCTACATTTAGCAAGAAAAATGATTTGAAGACAGAAGTCTTTTAAATGAATTTTTAGCCTTTAAATGACTCCAGTCTCCAGGCCTTTCCCCACGTTTTGACAAACGGCTTTTGGCTTCTTACCCACATCAGTTTATTTGACCTTTTCCCATCAACTACCAAAATGAAAACTTTGCTAGAGAGAGAGAGAGGGCAATTTTAAACATCCCTTAGCAATGAGGCAGAACATGCTATAGCCATCAAGTTCTAGTTGTTCATTCTATTTATTGAAAAAAGCCTGTAGCCTGATTTCTTTTATGCGAGTACATTTGAGCAAGCAAAGTTTATAGAGATGACTTATCTCATTACATTAGAAGAGTGATTTGCTATCTCAGCATCTATAAGCAATTTTAACAGACATTTCTGGATGAAGAAAAGCTTTTGTAAATATATGCGAAAGACACGATTTCATCAAGCATTAAATTGGAGGTGCCGTGGAAAAATATTACATTTGTGCATTCAGTTAGCTTGATTGTGACTGAATTTTGTCCACTGAAGGCAGCATTTCTGCAGAAAAACAGAAGCATTCCTTATGTCAGCAGGTTTCCTAAAACAGGAAAGCACACTTTCTCCTTTGCCAGTCCTCTCGTATTTGTGCTGTTCCCAGCTCGGTGTCCCTAATCAGGCTGCTCATTCTTTTCTCCATAGTATCGTGTAAGGGAAGAACGAACCACGAGCCACTTTAGGTGAAATCCAAGCCCAATGATTGCACCTTTAAATAGCTGGCATCAGCCTGGAAGCTAGGCAAGCTCAGGGCAAAACTGGGACGGGTCAGGAATGGACTTAAGTTGACCACACTTCCCTTCCTGGTCTCTGCAGAGCCTCGCCTCTCAGGATCTGTGGGATGTTGTTTAAACCTTGGTTTGGTTGTTGGCCCAGGTCCCCTTTCTGGAGGCGAGTTTGTAGGGTAGGCCTTATCTTGGAATGAAAGCTTTGTCTCTCCTATTACAGGAATGAGAGGAGTCAGAAAATGGAGAGCGGTTCAGGTCCAAGAGGGCTTTCTTGGGTCCCTGAAATCACAGTGAGGAAATGGGCCAAGCATTTAGGGATGGTCACCAGCACTCGCCCCTCCTACCCCTTGCTGATCTGTAGTTGAACCATCAGCTTTGTATGAATAAGAAACCAGATGAGACCTTGTCAGGGAAACCTGTCAGGGGGTGGCTGTTATTTTTAAACAGTAGGTGAGGACAAATTGGAACTTCACCAGCTACAATCCATTATAGCCCAGGGCTTATCATACTTTCAAGTACATTTCTAAAGACTGATTAATTCAAGAATTAGCAAGGAGTTTGGTCAGGAAAGGAAAAATGCTTCCATTAAGTTCAAGGTTTCTTTATCAGAGAGTTTGCCAGATTTCAGATTTTACCCTGGATTCTTGAGCTTTGGGGAACCATCTTGGGCTTGAGGGATCATCTTTGTTGTAATAGATATGAATGAACTCATACATGATATTTTTAAAGTCTAGGTATTATAGGACCTCAGTCATTTACTTACTCATTCACTGACTTACTAATTTTTTCAACAGACATGCCTTCTATGCGACTGAACGAAGCCCTGCGAATCTGAAGAGCAGGTCATACCGACCCTGGGAAAGGGTAAGGGCCGCGACTGAGAAGGCACAGGCAGGGTGCTTGGGGGTCCACAGCCTAGCTGATCCTCACCCCGAATGAAGCACCTGGAAAGTTTCTGGGAAAGGCAGTTCTTAAAGCAGGATTTTTTTTGGTATTATTTTTCTTACATACGAGAGGAATACATAATCATTGTAGAAAGGTGGAAAATACAGAAAAGTATAAAAAAGAAAATCTGAATCATCTGGAGTTCCAACCAGACCCAGTCACTGTTAACATTTTGGCAGGATGAGCTGTTTGAGAATTAGGTCTTATTTTCTTGGCAGTGAACTCGCCAGGAATGAAGGAGAGCCCGTTTTTCCTTCCCCTCCTTGAGAAGGAGGGCTGGGCTTTGGGCAGTGAAAGTCAGGCTCTCCTTGTCAGGGAAGAGTGAAGTGGCTTTTGATTTTTCTAAGTCTAGTTGAAGGTGACGTAGGCCTGGATCGTCTGGCTGAAAGGAGGAAGCTGTAGCCCATCTCTGGGCAGCCGAGTTCCCAGGACCTGGTGAAGGGGAGGGGGGCCCACTGAGCCCGAGTGTCCTGACCTCTGACTGGGGAGCCTGGGTGTCTGCAGGGGAGCAAAAACCATGCACAACAGTACCGACTACCTCTGAATGCCTTAGTGAATAGGACATGGGGAATGGAGAATGAAGCCCTGCCCAATGCTGAAATCTACTTCTAATCCTGATCTGATGCTCTATCACTTCTTCCCCCCAGTTACCACAGCAGCCCATGTCCTATGGCAGATTGCTGAAAGGGAATTTTTTTATGTTTACCTTCTGAATTATTTTTCTTTTTGACATTTTATGATCTAG